TTCCCTTTAAATACTTTCTTTATTCATTTTTTTCTAAACTTCCTTGTTGTATACACAAGAGCCATTCAGTGTGTGATAGTTTTTCTCAAAAGGTCTAAGAAAATACTAAAGAGAAAACCGTAATAAAATAAAACAATAGCTAGATGTTTGGAGAAACTTAATACATTTACCCTGACAATAACAAGGTCTGTTTACATAGTCCCTTCACTCTACATTGTCATGCATACAAGAAAAAAATTACACTGTATGTCAAAAACACAACTGTGAATCACAAGCGTTAAAAATGAATCTGCACCTGTACTCTTACCCCGTCACTTTATGTCAGTTACCTACACGTGCGTCCGGATCCTCTGCGAAGCAGCGAGATCCTGGAGAACAGGAGTCTCTGGGACTCATCTTTGCATCTCCAGTCTCAGCTTAATGACTGTGTGCTGAAATGTCCATTCTTGACTATTAAGTGGACTGGTCTTTCTTTTTCATTTCTAATTTGACTCAAAGATCTCCTTGTTTTGACTATGCGCATGTACTTCCTTCACTAAAATAAGCTGAAGAACTTGGTATAGGAATAGACATTCACAAAACTAGTGACAGTAATTATTGCCAAGTGGTGATGGGAGGGAAAACACCGAGTGAAAGAGGTCGATCACGAAGCCTGCAAACTGCACAGTAATGTAAACTTATAACCGATAAGGTAGAGAATGAGATTGGCTGTAAGAAAACCTAGGTCCCATTTCAGATAAGATAACATATGAAAAGCATTGCAAAACTTCATCCAGCATCTAGTAAGCGCACTACAGAGATTAGTTCTTACTGTTCTATCAATACCTTCTGAACATATTCTTGTCTTTGAAAATTCCTTAACGTTACTTCTTGCATATTCCTCCTCACCATGATACCTCAGGATTAATGACATAGTGTTTGTAACGTGTTTTGAAATCCCTGAAGTGTTATAATCAACCCAAGTACCATTTTATTTATGCAAACTGTGTCTACCCAGCGAGTCCACTTAAATATCAAGGATTGGGAACTGCTGTCTCATAAGGCTTAATAAATGATCCCCTCCGGCTCTAAAAGCAAGTACTTTTTCAATGACAATGGAAGGGAAAGCGAAGGAATTGCTCTGTGGCATCTGTTGTGTAATGCTCTTCGGATGGCACATCTCGATAAATGCATGAGAGTCCTTGGAGAGTTACAGCACACAGTGAAGAGAGAGTGGTAAAAATCCCAGTATCTCTGAAAAGGAAGGCAAGACAAAGTTAAAGAGAGAAAGACTTCACAGTTTCCATCAATAAAGATCAAGAATGACTCATTTAGTACCTACTTTCCACTTAACAGGGGCTTTCTAAGAATCTCTGATGGTGGACAAAAACATAAAACATAAAATGGAGATTAAGAGGGCAGGAGGCAGTTTAGGAGAGAAGAGGAAGAAGCAGGGGAAATAATACGCTACAATTCAAAATGCAGGAAATAAGATCCACGACACGCATGAGAACTTTTGGAATCAGTCTATGCCAAAATAGCAATTGGAAATTATTCTCAATATTATGATATGCCCTTTATGTGCCTGCTGTGGCCGGTATACCCAGATATTTAGTGGAATGAAGGCTTAATGAGGCTAAGCAAGGTAAAGTAGCTTTTAAAGGTAAGATAGTAGCAGAGTAAGACTGCACCCAAGTCATCAGATCCATACCCAGGAAGTGCACTTTGCTCTCTATCTCTGATACCTCCCCACATTGTGACTCCAGAACCTGGAATAGCATGCTCGGGGGGCAGGTTTACGAAGGTAACAGAGTCCATAAATCCACAAGTGAGGACTTGGCTTTATCTGTAACTTTCTGTATGACCCCTGACAGACTTTGTAATCATCTATTCGCTGCCTGGTAACTGTTTCAAGAGATCTAAAAGTGAATAAAATAATCTGCATGAAACACTCGGATCTTCTGGTAAAAATGTTACATGAGCAATTCCAAGTATAATCATTTAATTCATCTACACCGAGGAGAAGAAAGTAAAACTGCCACCCTTACATACTTACTCAACTGACCCTTTTTAAAAAAGAATTATTTATTATTATTATTTTTAATTTGACTAGAGAGAGAGAGAGAAAGAGAGAGCCACCAGGTCTGGAACTCAAACCTCGGTTGACCATGCAGAAGTCCAGCACCTTAAGCACCATGCCACCTGCTGGCTCTCAACTTAACCTTAAATGGAAGAATTCTTCCCAAACATTCCCTGATTTCATATTTAGTGAACGAAACTACTCTCACACCTGCATTTTATAACCTTTGTCTCACTGCCTTTGAGTATGCTTTAAATGTATTCTCAAACCCAACTTTGAAATGGTAATTTTCTGTATTTCTATGGCAATCTGGATGTACTCGATAGTGGAAACTCTAGGAAGTGAACTGATTACTTACCTCCAAGTCATCATCAGGGATAGCTCTTCTCCATTTTATGTTCCACCTGATGTGTTCATAGGCATTCACTACGACTTCAATAGCTTTGGGACAAGAATGGCAAGCCTGTATCACCTGCAGAGGAAGTACAGAGTTTCGTTTGTTCAATGCACATATATGATTCATTCTTCTCACAGAGACATCAAAAATTCATGCACCTATTAGGCTCCCTGGACCCTTGACAAGATTTTGAGAAGCCTCAAGCCTCGGAGCACTCAAACGCACTGCCAAGTTCTTTGGAGGGCAGGCAGGTTAATAAAATAAGACTGACTTCCTTCACCATTCAGGAGCATGAAAAAGTGCTAACAAAAAAAGATGGACGTCTGAAGAATTGCTAGCTTTGCCCATAATTGAAGCAATTTTGAAAATAGCTGTTCTCAGAGGTCTCTTCCAGTTGCCCGAGAAACTCTTCCAGTTCTACAGAAAATTTTAACAAAAAGCATAATGCTAGTAATCTAAGAGTGGCTAGGTGACCTGAGGTAGAGCAAACTACAGAATAACATGCAAATTGACTAAAGCTATTCTTCCCAGTTCAATGTCTGAAGAGGACTGATGCCACATACAGACTACATTAGTTGGCACTTCGGCTCTCATCAACAAAAAAAGAAGACAGGGCCCACCAGATGGTGTAATGTTTACATTGTTGGACTCCCACATAGTTGACCACAGTTTGAATCCCAGACCCATTAACTTGAAACTCATGCCTGGCACATGTGTGTGCATGCCCAAGTTCCCAAAAGGAAAATGAAGGAGAAGGGATTGCAGTATGGCCATCCTGCTTCCCTTCCCCTCAGGGATTTCTTGATTTCTGTCTCTCTGTCTTTGTCTGTCTGTCCAGCAAGCACACACACACTAGAGCAAAAGTGTCTCTTAAAAACAAACAAGTAAAAGAAGACATAAAACTTAGTAATTTCATTAGTACATCTGTTCCAACGGTTCCTTGACTAACCAAAAGGACTGGAAAACTGCATCAAAGTGGCAAGCATTTCCTTCAGCAGACAGAAAGATTCAGCTTTAGATTTTAGATCACACTGAATGTTTATACTCTTGACCAGCTTTTGATATAGACATAAAGTTTTGACTTACCTGATTGATGAGTCAAGCAATATTTATTAGGTTGTAAGTGTAGGGCTATGTAATAAATCCCCCCAAAGTAAAAACACTAATTTCTAGTGAGAGGCTTATTATTAAGAATGAAAGGTAAAAACACATATATGGAACCAGACTGATGGAGATAAATGGTTGGTTCATGTATTTGTAAGATTAGATGGTTTTAAAAAATAGGAAATATAGAAATTTCAAGAGGGAGAGCTGAGTGCGTTGGTCAGGGAAAATTCCTTGGAGGAGATGAGTTCAACTTTATTCATTTATTTATTATATAAGTTTTACTGTATGTATTTTCTATAGCCTTTAGTTAAGCACAATAAGTGTATGTTACCTTTATAATAAAGAATATCTACATACAGTAAGAATTGACAGCTCTGGGCCACCTTGCATCAACTGTGGGTAAAGAAGGCCTGTTTGCTCTTACTCTGTAGAAGGGCATGGGTCAGGGATGGTTGGTTTCAGACATAGTAACAACTCATTTCTTGGGCCCAGCTTCTCCCTTCAGTTCCTGCTGCCCTTCAGCCACTGCAGTCCTAGTATCAATGTGGCAGCCAGCTCCTTTGGGGCTAGACTTCCCATTGACATAAACATAACCCAAGTCAGGTAGTAGTTGGCAAGGGACAAATGCAACCTGGAGCTTACGTGGGACCAGAGCGTCTAATATATGCTCACCTCAAATGAGCCTGGAGGTTGGGTTCTGGTCTTAGACTCACACCCCCATCATATTCTTCAACCTTGGTCTTGTTGCTTATGAGTTCAACTTTAGGTCTTAGAGGGTCTGTGGTATATGTGTACACCAGGCCTGTATGCATGCAGTAAGGCACCTATCTACAAGCTCGGCATCAACAAATGTAACATTGAGGTTCAAAGCAATGTACTTCAAGGGCTGTAATAAAGAACAGCTTCATTCTTTCTCTTTTTCCTGTCCACCCGAACCCACTCCCTAGCACCCTTCTTATTCACTCCTGGCATGATACCTCAGGTGGGAACTATACCTGTTTCTAGTTCATTTTTAGTAATCAAAAGTTCTCCAGTCATTCTAAACACAAGAACAATGTCAGTTCAGCAATTAAAAAAAAATGTCTATTTTAATTGAATAATTGTAATTCCAAATTTCACTGAAAGTAGAAGATTCCCTTCTCTGGTAGACTAGGCCTGGAAGACTGTAGTGGGAATGGAGATATTATGGATGAGGTATAAAGGAAATACGTATTTGGTCTTTGTTTCTGTTTTTTTTTCTCTTAAAACCCTTGGAATTTCTTGAGTGATAGGAGCAACATCACTTATTCATAACAAACTCCTTTCAATCGGAAAGACCAATCCTTGATTAGAAAATGGGAATGTCCAGCCCCAACTCTCAATCTCCAGGCAGGGAAAAGGAACCGGAGATTAAGTTCAATCACCAGTGGCCAGGAATTTAATCCGCCATGCCTGTGTAATGAAATTCCATTAAAAACCCTAAATGATGGAAGTCTGGGACGTTTCTGAGTGGATGAAGATATCAAAGTGCTGGGAGGATGGTGCTCCTGGATAGAAGATAAAAGTTCTGTATCCTCCTATATCCTGCCCTACGCTTCTTTTCCACTTGCCTCTTCCCAAGTTGGATCCTTCATCAGGAACTATATAAACCAGTTATAGTGAGTAAAGCACTTCAATGAGCTTTGTGAGTCATTTCCACACTGTCAAACCTAAGGAGGTAGTTGTGGGGTCCATCTGAATTTGCAGTCAGCCTGGAAGAAATGTAGGCAGCCTGGGCAAATCCATTTGTAGCTGGCATCTAAGGCAGGGACAGTCTGGTGAGATGGAGCCTGTGAAGTTTTTGTTTGTTTGTTTGTTTGTTTTTTTAACTATAGTTGATTTATTATTTCAAAACCAAGAAGTGCTGATAAGGCTGCCAGTTAGTTTTGTAAATGTCTTGTAGATATTTATACCACACCAATAGCATGTTTGTTTGTTTTACTAAAACCTCTCATTCACCATAATTACATTTTTCTTGTCAATTTAATAATATTCCTTTTTTATGTTTCATTATTTACTCATATTATTTTTAAAATTTAATTTTATTTATTATTATCATAATCTTTTTTATATTACATTGAATCACATATATCTTTACAGTGTATTACATTTCTTTTTCCAGCATGATTACCATTCATATCAGTCAGTGCCTGTGAAGTTTGATGCCGACTCCAGCATTGACATTAATGTCAGAAGACTCACAACCAGTTGTAGGCAAAGAATGGTAGACTTGGTTGGTGTGAGGAAAATATCTCAATGAACTTCTCTATTTCTCTACCTTTCTTCTCTTCTTTCCTCTCTAAAGCCATCCTTGGACTGTTCTGGGTTGAGGTGGGTAGAGGAAGAGGAAAAGGGAAGCAAAGGTCTTCGTTGGTATCAACAGAATCTCACAGTGATGCCTTCTATACCGGTTTCCTTCATTCATGAGCAGATTTTGTGGGTTACACAGAGAGCCCCCATCCCAGTTCGTAATTCCTAAATTTCTTGACAAAGGCAATGTGTCTCTTCAGATCGTTCCTTACAACTGGCATACCTCTTCAGAAGTTTCTGTGACCACCAGAATACCTCTACCTTCTTTTTTACCTAACAGCTCTATCTCTGGAAGTCCTCAGGTACAACCTACTTTCACTTAAAACCAACCCCAGCTGGTTTTCCAATGTGACCTACAAATGGTTCATGGGGAATCTGCCCCTCTGTCCCATCATTAGCCAAAGCACGCCTGAAAGTGCTGGGAGGGTGGTGCTCCTGGATAGAAGATAAAAGTTCTGTATCCTCCTATATCCTGCCCTCCTATATCCTCCCAGTTTAATCTCCTTTCTCTCCTTTGAACCAGACAAGTAGCTTTAGTCACAGACCCACTCCTTTAAATTTTCTCTCCACGAGTTACACAGCAGTTCCATTTTCCCTTAAAACTTCAAAGAACATAAATTAAGTTCTCTGAGCACTTTCGTCAAAGCCTCTCCCATTGGGTGTGCAAAGAGGAGGAAGACCTCTACCCTCTACCATTAAAAGGTAGCCATGCCTCTATACTTAAGCAGCTTTCTCCAAAAGAACATTCTACCTAATTTCTCAGACTGTCTCAACCTCAGTCTATTTTTGGACAAAAAAATTACAAAACTGCTTTTCTCTACTTCCTTTACTAGTTCTTAATAGGTGGTCAAGCATTCCACTTTTCAGTGTAGGTTAGTAAGTGCCTAATGTCCTGTGGTCTCAAGAGAAACTGACAGAAAGATTATCACTTAACTACCCAGTTAATTAAGTGTGTGTAAGTGTTAGTGCTATGTGTACAGTAGAGAGGTCAGCCTAAATGGAGGACCCATGTCAGGAAAGAGCTTAAGGTAGGAGCAGGTAAGATGGAGCCAGCTGGCAGCACAGCTGGAATGCCAGTCTGAAGAGCTTGAGATGGACTTGACAGGTAAGAGGAGGCTATTATATATTCTTAACAGGAAAGAGTTTTATTCAACCTACTCATTCCATTAAGAGGCCTTTATGGAGCCCTGTGTTTAGTACTGTGGCAGTAATTCTGAAAAGTTTATTACCTGTTTTTTGCCTTCAAGGGGTTTACAACCTACTTGAAGAGAAAAAGATAGATATTTCAAGAAGTTAGAGAGCAATATAAGTCAGTAAATAAGAAAAGACTAACTTAAAGATCATCAAGTGTCCCTTGAGCACCATGAGCAGAAGCTCAGAGGAGAAACAGCACAGCAAGGGCAGAGAGCAGTGAGGAGGCTGAAGGGAAGTGTACCAAACAGCTTCCGGCTAATACCTGTGTTAGTCCTGGGAATGAAGGGTACCCAGAACTGAAAAAGAATAAGGATGGCTTTTTACTAATCACATATATGGCAAGTAAACAGTACAGTTTTGAGGCTTGAGACCAAGAACAAAGAGGGGTGACACTGACAGAAATGAGGAATTCGTGTTAGTCTGCTATTGTTTGTAGTAGAAATACA